TAATCTATCAGCCGATAAACGGCTAGCTTCGTCGGTCAATAACCAACAAGTCGTTTGCTTGTGTATAAATTTAGTCTTGTTATTTATTTGCACCTGAAAATAGGATTTTTCCAATGCTGGATTAATCGAATCAAACATACGCATACCAGTAAAGTTTATTTTCTCTGTTTTAATTTCATCAACGCTTTGTGTCATTGTCACATCTTTATTCTAGATATGGATATACTGCGAGAAACAATTCTCAGAAACAAGAAACACTTTTGTAATTTCTATAGGATAAGTTTTGTTTTTTGCATGTTATAGAAGTTTCATGTAATTTCTATAAGGTTTTTTGATACGCATGGAATCTGCCTCTTGAAGTCCTGTGAAGTCTTGTGAAGTCTCATGAAGTCTAATGAAGTCTCATGAAGTCTAATGAAGTCTCATAAAGCCTCATGAAGTCTCTTGAATTCTAATGAAGTCTCATGAAGTCTCTTGAAGTCTCTTGAAGTCTCATGAAGTCTCTTGAAGTCTTGTGAAGTTTTATGAAGTCTTGTGAAGTCTTATGAAGTCTTATAAAGTCTCAAGAAGTCCTACAAAGTCTCTGAAGTCTCATGAAATCCATGAAGTCTCATGAAGTCCGTGAAGTCTCACGAAGTCTGTGAAATCTAACGAAGTCTTTTGAAGTCCCATGAAGTCTCATGAAGTCATACGAAGTCTTATAAAGTCTTGTGAAGTCATTTGGAGTCCTATGAAGTCTTCAGAACTCTTTAGAACTCTTTTGAAGTCTTGTGAAAATATGAAGTCACTGCAGTTGAAGTCTGTTGAAGTCTTTTGAAGTCTTAAAGTCTTGAAGTCCGCTGTTTCCCCCTTGGTTGCATGCCTTTCTTTTTAACTGGCAGAGATATGTGCTTAGTCTTCTTATAAATCTGTATAGCTTTTTACTATCTAGCATCTTCAGAGTACAATAAAGTTTATTGTACCACATTGAAAACTCTACTATACGTGCAATATTTTAGCCCTTTTAATCTGACACTTGTACATGATAGTCGAAATTCCGATCTAGCGATTCATCTTATCAGTATCCACAAAAACTTCTGCTTTCAAAATTCTCCTGCTAAATGGTTAATGATGGACAAACTTTGCATCTATATCATAAAATCAACGATGAAATTATTTGATCAAATAGAATGATCGAAAGAGAATTCTGGTGATCCTATGCATTGGAAGGGAATGATATTTTCTAATCCATGCTAATCAATTTTGTATATATTATGATTATTTAAGCAATTAATAATGTTTTATTCTCTTTCTCTTCTTGTCTAAAGAAAAACTAATTTTCATTGTCTAAATATCTTCATTTATTTTTCTATATCATTAGATTATAAATGAGAAAAAGACAAAGTTTGATTTTATTTAATAAATGTTAGAAAAAACAAAAGAATTTGAATTATTTCCATTGTAAATAAATAAGATTGCGTAAACGTTTGATTGTAAAATGCGAAAGTAATTTATCTGAGTTGATCGTGTCTTGAATATTTTGAATAATTAAATCATCTGCTGTTGAAAATTCAAAACATAATGCACGAAGATGATGATTATCAAATCGATTAATTTTCTTCAAAAAAATCCGTAAAAATGCTTGAATATCCATGAAATTCATCTTTTCAATTCTAAAATATTCCATATATGGACAAAGTGTAAATAGAAAATCTAATTCTTTCATATGATTAATTTCTTCCAAAAAGACTTTCGTAATTTGACTTGTTTCTTTCATTGAACATAAAATAAAAATTTCATCAACAGTAAATTCCGATGTTTCATCTGTTGATAATGAATGAATTTTTAATGTTGTTAAATCAGGTAATAGATTAATTACTTGAATCATTTGAAAAATAGAAATATTCTTTTCAAGAATTTCCAAATAATAAATTTGTGTTATTATTAAAACATGTTCAATTTGTTTGGATAACGTATCCTCAGGGATAGATTCAAATGCTAAACAAGTAACTGTCGAATGTTCAATATTATATTTGGGATAATGATACCATCTTTTACTAAAAAATAAAGAAAAATTTTAAACACGATCTAAAAGGAGATTTGAAGTGTTTAGGCGTACAAATTTCGATTTCCTTACAGAAGGTAGAATAACGAAACCAAAGCATATACTAACCAGCTGATTAAAACGATAAAATCTAGATCTTAGCAAAATGAAATCACAGGCATTTTCGTAAGTCAAAATAGGGATGACAGAAATCTTTTCAAACAAGCGGCGACTACTGCAGATGTCTAGATTATACTTCTATAGTGTTAGCGAGTTCATGGTGTTTGACATTTCTAATGCGCGAGAGAGTTTTTCCAGGAAAATGAAATTGTTGTATACCTAAATGGACGAATTGTATATTGAATATCTGTATAAGCAATTTCAACTTCAAATAACCATTTTCGTTGAATCCAAAATGATGAAGAAAATTGATTTTGTTTTCCAGAAAATATTGGAGAATTTTCTTCATCATTAAGTTGATCATTATAGATTAAATAAAACTTTTCTAATTGAGGAAAAGAATTTAAAATTAAATGTTCCCATCGATATGCATCAAGATAAGCAATATCATTTGATCCAGCTATTGTTAATAGATTTAAATTTGAATTGATTTTTGAAAGAAATATTTCTAATTGATTAAATGTTGTTTGAAATACATTTAAATAAAGTGATTTGAGATTATTTAATTCAATTGATGATACTTTCGCATTGAAATTCTTTGTTTCTATTTTATGAGCAGTTAAACGACGAAGTTTCGGTGTAAAAGATATTAAAAATTCAAGTTCATTTAAAGAACAATAATGATCGAGAACAAGATATACAATTGAACATAATTCATTCTTTTCAACCATTGAATATGTTAATGAATGAAAATTATTTGATAAACATATTCGAGAATATTTTAATTTAGGTAAAACAAATATTAATCGATAAATTTCATTCATCTCTTCTTTTATAATTGATGTTTTAATTGTTAATGAATAAAGTTTTGGTAAGAAAAATAAATTGTTCAGAATTGGAATAATTGTATTTGATTGAATATCTTCAAAAGTAATCGATTGAAGATGATCAAATGATGAATCAAATAAAAATGAGGAAAAAAAAGAACTCTTCTCGAGTAAAAATTTAATTGATATTGAAAAGATTTGATGATGATTAGTTAACATATAGTCTTTAAACGTATTCATCATTCCATCATTTCCAAATAAATAAAATCGATTTTTTAATAATACAGATTAACTATGAAGAATTTTTTCAAATCGAAAATTTAAATTTGAAAATGATTCAAATAATTCATATCCATTGAAATAATCAAATATTTCACAGAACAAGTCATTTGATAAATCTTCAAAACCACTTATCCATGAATCTATTACAACAAAAAAAACATACAAATTATTTTATATTCATCATGAAAATAACTTACTGCAAAATTTCTTAGATTTTTCGTCCGAGAAATTCTCACAAGATAATTTTCGTTTATTTTCATTCATATTTAGTTTTATATCGAAATTGAACAAATTCTTCAATTGGAATACGCTTTTATATAGTCTTCAGACAAAAGATAACAAATCGTCTATGCCAACGTCGTATCGAAAAAGACTATAGGCAGAAAAGAAAAGCAATCGATAACCGTTATTTAACCTTCATATATAATTAAATCACTTGACTCATTCTAGACAAATTTTTTCATCAATTTTGAAGGAAGACGATGCGCAAAAATCTTTTATAGACATCAATATTAACAATCCATTCGAAAATAAACTTTGATAACAATATTCATTTCATTTCATTTTTAGGATTATAATAAACAATGAACTTTTTATGGAACAATAAGATTAATAAAGCTGTATCGCGCAATCTCGCAGCGATTAAAAATGTCAAACACGATGAAGTCACTAACACTGTAGAAATATAAGCTAGACATTTGTCGCAATCTG